GCAAAATGAGCCCCTACCAAGTATTGAGTACATGTACAGTAAATTAACATACTTTCCAGAAGGCCAACAATTCACTAAAAATGTTTTTTTTATTGGTCTTATGAAGTATTCTAATTTGTTGAGATAGTGAATTGGTGGGTTTTTGTTAAATGTGAGCCAAAATCATCACAATTAAAAGAACCAAAGACTTAAACTACTTCAGTCTGTGTGCACTGAATTTATTTAATACACGAGTTTCACAATTTGAGTTGAATTACTGAAATAAATGAACTTTTCCACGACATTCTAATTTATTGAGATGCACCTGTACTAATACTAAGAGTAGATTTGGTTCGAATAGCCAATATTTTAGTAGGCTATAAATATGTGGCTATGTTACAGCTCCTCTTTGAAGCGTTTGTGTTTTTCTCCTTTTCCATCTGTCCAATCCTATTCTGCTCACAGGTGGTTGGAGATGAGTTTTGTTCCTGCTTTGTTGCAGTTTGCTGATTTTTCTAAAATAACTTATTTTTGCTTTTCAGATAAAAGGGTAGTTTGTTCAATATGTTGCGGGCTCATTTATTGGTAATAAATAATTGATAAATAATATCGATGATAATAAATTATCAAAAAATATTGGGCTTGTTTTTTAAGCTGCGGTTGCTTATTTGTCTCGCGAGAGTTGGCAACAGTGCTAGAGCCGTTGAGCTACGTAAAGCCGCATTTGACAGGGTATGCCAGCCACAATCTCATCCATATTGCTATAAAATATAGCATTCTGTGTAGAATTCAAATACCTCCGATACATTTTGTGGTCTGCGCCGACTCGTGCATGTGATCCGCTCCATGCTATCGTATCTCTGGACCGGAACAGAGTGTGTGTGCGGTGCGGTGGTTAGACTTAGACTAAACCAGACTTCTTTTTGTCCTCAATGGAAAGCATATTTACACTGTTATAATAATAATATATTGATACCAACACCCAAAAAACTTTAATTTTGATTTCATGGGGACTTTAACAAAATACTAAGCACTTCTCAAAAAACTAACAAGCTAATACCAAAGGGCCACACAGCCCTTCACAGATTTATTTTATGAAGGATACTAGAGGGAGTCAACACATTATGTGAAGGTTAATGACTCAAGTTCACTCAATACAAGCATTAAAAGTTTATGTATTTTCTACAAGTTTTTCTACAAGTGTTTTCAGTTTGCATTGAAACAAAGTCTCAACCTCATATCCTCTCACAAACTTATTGAGGGAAAAATACAGGAACAATGCTGCAAAAATCTATTCATTACTTCAATTGTCCTAAATGTGTGGAGCTGGATTGGGTAGCTCCATGCCACAAAAGGCACTTTGATATCCAAAATAGCAGCGTTTTTAAGCCTTTCGTCTCAAATTAGCATAGACTATAACACACTTCAGGGTAAAGGGACAGTTCACTCAAAAATGAAAATTCTATAAATTTACCGACCCTCATGTTCAAAACCTTAACATAAAAGAGGTTTTGAAGAATGTTGGTAACCAAACAATTTTGGTTACCACTGACTTCCATTGTATGGACATAAAACATTTCTCAAAATATGTTCCACAGAAGAAATCAAGTCATAAAGGTTTGGGATGACAGAAAGAGTAAAATATGATTCATTTTTGGGTGAATTTTCACTTAAAGCTGAGAGGGGAACTCAACTTAATGCAACAGTGTTTCCTTCCACTCCATTGACCTCATTACTTCTTAAAAGTTATGCTAGGATGCTCAGTGATAATGAATTAAGTGCTTTACACTCATCAGACTAATCAGAATTACTGTTATTCTGTTCAAAATGATTTAGTAACTAGCATGAATTACATTATAAAAGTCTTACTAGATTTGCATGGGCAAAATCTGACTTCCATGGCAAACATGGAACCATGCATGGAGAAGTTGCACCGTTGGTAAGGAACCATAGCATTATTTACACAAAAGCATGATGGATGAGTAGGCCATTATACCGTCATACAAAGGTTTCACATCGGTCAACGGGCAGTTAGAAAATATCTGAGCAGTTCTGGCCGCTCAGTTGGCACTGTCAAATCTGAGATAAAAGCGTGGGCACTGTGTTGTCCAAAACAATGCTCTGCTGTTTCAGGCCCAAGTTGGTGTAGTGTAGGTCTTCATTCAGCCCTGGGATGATGGTTGCTCCATGCATCTCCACTGGCATCAGACTGAAGCTTAGGCACTCACTCAGTCATGAGACTGCAACTTATGAAGGTCAAAGTTCAACAGGCCACCAACTTTTCCATGGTCTGCAGGGAACATGACCTTAGACTGGATTCAGCTTCATTTGTAGAGTTGAAGTCTTGCCAAATCTAAATCATACTTCTATAGGAAATTATCTTGTGTATATAAAATACAGTGAAGGTTTGGAGATTCTGTTTGCTGTCAAGAGAATCCGGTAATCGGAAACAAGCAACATCCATCCAGCGCACGAAGAAGGCGTGTTTGTCCAACAGTTTACTGCAAAATTCACACGGGACAGATGCCCGAGTCCACAGAGTTGCAAGAGATTTGTGACGTATTACTCAACATGTTGACAACTACTAATGATTAGCGGTCACATTTAGCACGTCCACACCTAAAGAAAGAAAACAGAATAACTTGCTAGAGCCCATATACATTGAAAGATCTGATTCCAGTAGAAAAGGGTTCAAGGAATGTGTACACAGTATTGTTTAGCTGCTTTCAAAATAGTACAGGCTTTACAATGAGTAATGGTACAGTGTGATTAAATGTTACACAAATGTTTTTAATGTGACATTGTCTGCACATACAGCTACACTGATGGAACAATCCAATCCTAATTTTTTTTATTTTTTTTTATATATATATATATATAATTTTTAATACCGTAGTGTCCCGAATATAAGACAATGTTTTTTTCTTGGAAATACATCTGAAAAACGCAGTCGTCTTATATTCGAGGTCTAGAGTTTGACATGTCAATAATACACCCACAACAATAGGTGGCGCCAAATACGCGCAAAACGAGTGTGCCATGAAATACGCAATGTAATGCGTGTTGTAAAGATCGCGAGTAAAAACAAAAGAAAGAGAAAACCTTACAGCTGCACGAGTCGTGACTGTCACCTTAGCCTGATGGGACCAACTCTACTTCTACTGTTAATAAGATTTTGGTAGGCTACTATTAGATGGATAGCCTAAATGTCCTAATTCAGATGGGCTACCGGTTTTTTTTAATTTTTTTTATGGTATATCAAAAAGTGTATATTTTTTAAATGTGATTGTTGGTACATTTTACCAGTTTTTAACCATACTTTCAAAACAAAAATTAAAATAGGAAAAATATGCAATATGATGATAATTGAAAACAAAATGTGTTTTACTGAGAAAAAACAAGATTTGGTTTTTAAAAAGCCTTTTTCCAAAAGGTACATCTGGAAAAAGGGGGGTCATCTTATAATCAGGGTCGTCTTATATTCGGGCCAGTACGGTAATAATAAGTTTAGGGTCAGCAAAATAAAGTAATAATACTTTTATTCAGCAAAGCATGCATTAAACTAGTCAAATGTGACATTTGAAAAGTTTCTTGTTTTAAATAAATGTTCTTTTGAACTTTCTATTCAAAGAATATTAAGCAGCACTACTGTTTTCAACATTGATAATAATACAGGTGCATCTCAAATTAGAATGTCGTGGAAAAGTTCATTTCAGTTATTCAACTCAAATTGTGAAACTCGTGTATTAAATAAATTCTATGCACACAGACTGAAGTAGTTTAAGTCTTTGGTTCTTTTAATTGTGATGATTTTGGCTCACATTTCACAAAAACCCACCAATTCACTATCTCAACAAATTAGAATACTTCATAAGACCAATAAAAAAATTTTTTTAGTGAATTCTTGGCCTTCTGGAAAGTATGTTCATTTACTGTACAATGTTTCTAGCAGACTCCTCAAACTCATTGTAAGAATCTCTGACCTTTACGGTGCTGTCTACAGCTCCAGAGAAGAGTCTTCCTCTGGACACAGCGAGCGCCGTTACGCTGCCCTGGTGCCGCAGCAGAGTCTGGGTGCAGATCATGTTGTCCATGCTCCACACCTACACAGGTACAACAATTAATGCACAAAAGAGCTGGCACAAATCCCCACATTTCACACCCCAAACCCAAGCCTTGTGTTTACCCTGAGAGAGCGATCATAGGAGGCACTGAACACTTTGGTCTGATCGGGGGTTGAGATGACGGCCAGGGCATACACTGTGCCCACATGGCCCGTCAGCGTCCGCACCTGCTCTTTGGACTCAATGTCCCAAACCTTATTCACAGAGGAGAAATCACAATTTTAATAATGTCCTGACATTTTCCATGATGTATGTAAAGCTCTGCAGGGCGTAGAGATTAATACTACTTACATGAATGAGGTTCTCATAGGTGCCACAAACTATATGGTGATTGGTGACTGCAATGGAGTACACACTGCCTCCAGAGGTCTGGAGCACATGGACACACTCCAGAGAACGGATGTCCCAGATCTGAGGGGAAATAGCATACAGAGCAGTTCACAAAAATCCATTTCATTTACTGACACTAGATAGTATGCACCTTATAATACAAGTTCTGCATGAGACATTAAAAGAATGTGTATATATTCAAAATAATTATGTAAATAAATAAAAATCAATAGCCAAATTACTGGTTAAAAACTACACATACACACAGGTCACTGTTACCATGAAAACGAGAAGAGTGCAAAAAAAAGCTCCGCAACAACCCCCACACTCAGTCGAACATGTGAATGTTATAAATTGAGTCAGTCTCCCTACACTCTCAATCTAAAACAACTTGAATATTTGGATGCATTTCAATATATTTCAAATATACTTATGATCAATGACTATACGTCAATAGTTAATACTGTACAATATTTTTTATTTTATTGCATCATTCGCAGTGCTTTGCCAGCGGTGTAGCTCATTGCCAATTGTCACAGTTTTTTTTACCTTGTTTTTTCCCTCCATTTTTCAAAAACTACATTTTGTTCAAATTAAAGGTTATAAAGTTGTGCTTCATCTCAGAGTAAGTTTGTTTGGTTCATTGCTTAAACTCTTTATTAATTTTTTTTTAAACACTATGGAAGCAATGAACGGGAAATATAATTCCATAACAGTCTGCTGGAAAAGCAATGGTCACTACTGCACTCAATAGCAGTGGAGCATTTGTATTTTTATTTGTTCTTTCTCTGTGAGCATTTGTAGCAGTCTGCACTCAGCTTCCTGTCTGAGATCTCTGGAGTCTTAATTAGACAACAAGCAGCTTTGGTTTGTCCGTCTTATCCGGTTTTACAAACAACTCAGAGAAATGCTCTTTTTTTTTTATGCTTCTACTAAATACTGAGGAAAGGGTCTGAATACTTAGGACCATGTGATATTTAAGTTTTTCTTTTTGAATAAATCTGCAAAAATGTCAACAATTCTGTGTTTTTCTGTCAATATGGGGTGCTGTGTGTACATTAATGAGGAAAAAAAATTAACTTAAATGATTTTAGCAAATGGCTGCAATATAACAGAGTGAAAAATTTAAGGGGGTCTGAATACTTTCCGTACCCACTGTACATATATATAAAGATACATTATGTTATACATCTTAATAGGCTTGCTGTGATAGTCGGTGTTATCGGTGATAAGTCGCAACACCGGTTACGTCACTTGCGCAACAACCCCCCACTGTCATTTATATTTTAATAGTAATAAAAATCATTTAGTTCAGTTAGAGAACAGACTTCTCAAGACCACCTCTCAATGCAGCGTGCCAAACGACAGTCGCATCACAGATCAGCAGCAGGAGTCAGATTTCATTTATCAGTCGAGCTGACTGACAAGAAGAGTGAGAAGAAAGACAAGACAACGGCGGAGGATTTAGTTTCGAACCGAAATGCAAAAGTGTAGACTTTTGCCCTTTATCAGGTGATTTTGGAAGTTTTTTTTAACATTTGTTTCTTATTTATTTGGTTCCACAGTGTTAGCTGATTTTTACCATTTAAACTTTGTGTAATTTATTTTACATCAAAGTGTATGCCGTGCCTCCAAGCTTTCTTATACGTTTTGCTAATAAACGTTCTATGTTTCTTATTTATTTGGTTCTACAGTGTTTGGTGATTTTTGTATTTTTTTTAATATTTAAACATTGTGTAAGTTATTTGTTATTTTATATTAGGCCTATATTATGGTGCATTTTTATTTTCTGTGTTAATAAAAGGGGTCATATGATGTGATTTCAAGTTTTCCTTTCTCTTTGGAGTGTTACAAGCTGTTCGTGAATAGATAAGATCCCTAAAGTTGCAAAGACTACAGCCTCAAACCCAAAGAGATATTCTTTATAAAAGTTAAGACTCGTCCACATCCTCCTAAAACGCCTCGTTCAAACACGCCCCCCACGTCTACGTCATGATGTGGGAAGATTTGCGTAACGCCGCCCAAATGTTCACGCAAAGAAAGGAGGAGTAACTTTTATTCTCGCTGTAGTATTAGGGCCTTTCGCACCGCTTTAGTTCCAGACATTAACAACAGGAGGATGGAGGACACGGTGATCGGAGCTGTGTTTTTGTTTTGTCTCGCGGGTTTCACAATAATGGACATGGAAAGTCGACATATACGTAAAGCGACTGAAAGAACGGAAAGGAGGACTAAGAATCTCCAACGACAACCGGCAGTGCTACATTTGCTACAAGTGCCTGCACTTCAGCATCCGTCCATCTATCGCTGTTCTCCATACTTGCGAAATAAGTTGACAATGTTTACAGTATGTTTACACGGCGTTTTAAATCATGGCGGGGGAGGCCGTCTTCATACGCGGTTTGCCAATCAATGTCTACTTACGTCATGGGTAGTACCAGTTGTGCTGGTTAGACCCTGCTCCGGAGTAGGAGCTAATTTGGTTCTCGAAAAAGGCAGTCCGGTACTAAAATCGCACCCAGTTCCGGCGGTGCGAAAACGCCAAAAAGTGGGTAGTTCCACAATTAGTTCTGGTACTATGAAAAGGTTGCGGTGCGAAAGGCCCTATTGTTGCTGCCGCCGCCGCTGCCTTGTCGTGGAGACACTGTGTTTCTTTGTGAAACTAGAAATTAGTGGTTAAGTTGTATTTACAACACTGTTCCAGAACAGTTCGAACCAAATATTCAGATGTGTGCAGTGCTTTTTACAGAGGACGAGGACTGTTTCCTGGGAGAGTAGCCAACAATGCCATTGTTCCGGTGAATTCAGTTCCCGTTTCCCCTTTGGCGCGCATGCTGACCACAGTCTATGATGCTGACAAATAATGCTGACTCACAGCTAGTGGTCGACCGATATATCGCCACGGTCAAATATCGGCATTAGCCGATAAGTTTTTCTGTTTGGCCGATGTGTTAGAGGCGGGACTTTTATTTTGATGGCACCGAGTGTGGCAGCGCCTGAGCACACAGTGCTCACATTCTCCCCTCTTGTTCGCCGTCGTCGTTAACAGTTCTGTCTAATACAGATAGAGGTCTAATAGATGTGTGCAGTGCTTTTTACAGAGGACGAGGACTGTTTCCTGGGAGAGTAGCCAACAATGCCATTGTTCCGGTGAATTCAGTTCCCGTTTCCCCTTTGGCGCGCATGCTGACCACAGTCTATGATGCTGACAAATAATGCTGACTCACAGCTAGTGGTCGACCGATATATCGCCACGGTCAAATATCGGCATTAGCCGATAAGTTTTTCTGTTTGGCCGATGTGTTAGAGGCGGGACTTTTATTTTGATGGCACCGAGTGTGGCAGCGCCTGAGCACACAGTGCTCACATTCTCCCCTCTTGTTCGCCGTCGTCGTTAACAGTTCTGTCTAATACAGATAGAGGTCTAATAATCCGATAGAACCGTTAAACAAAGGAATTAAAATGTATACAAAAAGTATTATAACCATTGCTTTTATATTATTAGTCATAGAAAGGCAAACATTATAATACTTTCTTGTTTGCCGTCAGCAATCAGCAAATACGAATTTACATCATTTAAACAAATCTTTGAATGGCTAATGAAAATGAAATTTCACAAACCTTGCATACTTAGTCAAATCCAGTTGTAAGATCTTGTGAAGTGTGCATGTGACCTGCATGATCGCGTGTTCTCTGCGTGACTTTCGGTCCATGCAAATTGAATGCTTTAAACATTAAATTTGTGATTTCAAATTATGCTGCACTTTATGCATTTGCCCACTGTCATATTCATGTCATTTTCACTGTGTGCTGTTTGTAAAATGAGTGTTACCTTGGCTTTATTTTAAAAAATATATATGATTCCCAATGCACACAAACTTTCCAAAATGCTGTTGGTTATAGTTTACTTAATTTTTTATTATATTTTTATTAAATATTTATTTATCTGTGGAAAATACTTTGCCATCTAAAGTATAAGTATGTTTATTTAATTGTATGTTTAATTAAAATAAATACAATTATATCGGCCATCGGCCACCCTGCTTTCCAAGATATCGGCATCGGCTGTCAAAAAAATAATATTGGTCGACCACTACTCACAGCCTGTAAGTACGCTTTCATATTTAAAGGATTTGCCACTGATGATTCAAACGAGAGTTTTGAGCAGTGTAGAGTAGCACTTGTTTGTCGTTTCTCCGATCACAAATGCAGACATGGTTTTATGTTTACGTGGCGCGATGCAACAACGCGTAAAAAGACAGTATAAGTCATTATAATCAGTAATTATGTCCCCACTGGATGCAACAAATGCCTCGTTTGTAATGGGTTTTATTGTTGTTGTCTCGTCGCACCGGGACACAGCATCACAGTATGGTAGGGCCGTAACATTTCTGTCACACGCTTGAGGAATTCGGCCAATCACAACGCACTAGATAGCTGGCCAATCAGAGCACATCTCGCTTTTCAGAACAATGAGCTTTGTAGCATTAGCCGATAAGTTTTTCTGTTTGGCCGATGTGTTAGAGGCGGGACTTTTATTTTGATGGCACCGAGTGTGGCAGCGCCTGAGCACACAGTGCTCACATTCTCCCCTCTTGTTCGCCGTCGTCGTTAACAGTTCTGTCTAATACAGATAGAGGTCTAATAATCCGATAGAACCGTTAAACAAAGGAATTAAAATGTATACAAAAAGTATTATAACCATTGCTTTTATATTATTAGTCATAGAAAGGCAAACATTATAATACTTTCTTGTTTGCCGTCAGCAATCAGCAAATACGAATTTACATCATTTAAACAAATCTTTGAATGGCTAATGAAAATGAAATTTCACAAACCTTGCATACTTAGTCAAATCCAGTTGTAAGATCTTGTGAAGTGTGCATGTGACCTGCATGATCGCGTGTTCTCTGCGTGACTTTCGGTCCATGCAAATTGAATGCTTTAAACATTAAATTTGTGATTTCAAATTATGCTGCACTTTATGCATTTGCCCACTGTCATATTCATGTCATTTTCACTGTGTGCTGTTTGTAAAATGAGTGCTACCTTGGCTTTATTTTAAAAAATATATATGATTCCCAATGCACACAAACTTTCCAAAATGCTGTTGGTTATAGTTTACTTAATTTTTAATTATATTTTTATTAAATATTTATTTATCTGTGGAAAATACTTTGCCATCTAAAGTATAAGTATGTTTATTTAATTGTATGTTTAATTAAAATAAATACAATTATATCGGCCATCGGCCACCCTGCTTTCCAAGATATCGGCATCGGCTGTCAAAAAAATAATATTGGTCGACCACTACTCACAGCCTGTAAGTACGCTTTCATATTTAAAGGATTTGCCACTGATGATTCAAACGAGAGTTTTGAGCAGTGTAGAGTAGCACTTGTTTGTCGTTTCTCCGATCACAAATGCAGACATGGTTTTATGTTTACGTGGCGCGATGCAACAACGCGTAAAAAGACAGTATAAGTCATTATAATCAGTAATTATGTCCCCACTGGATGCAACAAATGCCTCGTTTGTAATGGGTTTTATTGTTGTTGTCTCGTCGCACCGGGACACAGCATCACAGTATGGTAGGGCCGTAACATTTCTGTCACACGCTTGAGGAATTCGGCCAATCACAACGCACTAGATAGCTGGCCAATCAGAGCACATCTCGCTTTTCAGAACAATGAGCTTTGTAAAAATCGACGCATTTCAGAAAGGCGGGGCATAGAGGAGAAACAATAATGTACAGTATGTGGAAAATATGTGTTTTTTTAACCTTAAGCCGCATAAACATTTCATTACACCAAATACACAAAATAATGTTCTTTTTAGCAACGTCATATGACCCCCTTAATAAAAGGTCTATGTTTAATATAAGTGAGTTTATCTGTTTTGTTGTTGTCATTCAAGCAATTGACACCGAACTGTCACTAAGTCGTAAACGAAAGTAAAATGCACACGGGCATTTAGAAGCTATTTAAAAGTGAAGGAAAGCAAGGAAAATAGGGAAAACTCCAATGAACTACTCCCACATCCCAGCCCCCCGCCCGTCCGTCCACCCGTCACATGTCAATTAACCGGTGGAAAAATTTCCTCACAGTCACAACTCTACATCTTAAAGAGTATGCAAGGAGTACGTAACTCATGAGAAAAGGGATATGTAAACTTATGAGCATGACTGGATGTGAAAGCTGACCATTTAATTAATCTCTATGCATATGGTCCTTTATGATGAAATCTGGGCATTCCTGAAGCAGTTAAAAGTTTAACACTTCTAACCTTTATGGTTTGATAAGATCCACTGTACAGATGATTCTGAGAAGCAACCAGAGCTCGAACCCAGTGATTCAAGCCAGTTAGTTCCTTCTTTAGCTTCAGCTCCGTCCCCACAATATCCCACACCTACAGAGGGAGAGAGAGAGAGAGAAAGATGTTCAATCACTTGAGGAACATTCAGAATTGGTAAACAGGAAAGTCCCAGAAAGATGAGATCATTCTACTTTTAAGCCTCCACTCCCTCATTCCTCCCACACATCACCATGGTGATACAAGCTCAGCATGTGCTCTTCAGACAGGCTCTCAGAGCCAAGTGGATCTAATTCTTCTCCACTTGTGCCTCAGTAACTTAAGTCTGTGCTTTTTTCTTCTCTGCTGGAGCACCGATCGCATTCTCCACATCACTTTAAGAAAACCGAATACAGCTAATGTGCACATCAGCAAATGGGGCAGAATAAAGCTCAATATTAGCTGCTTGATTGGGCTTGTGTCTGCAGACACGCACATCTTCTCTTTAACAGACGCCACTGACCTTAATGGCTTTGAGAGAGCCACTGAATAGCATGTTGTGTGAGGACACCAGAGTGCACACTGGGTTGTCATGTGCCCGGATAGTGTTCACTTTCTGCAAGGTCTGGATATCCCAAACCTGAGGGAGAGCAAGCACATATCTGCATTATTTGTACCATGTCATGAACAGTTTGATTACTCTTATAAATGCATTTCAGAAACACTCACAATAATGGTGCAGTCAGCTGAGCCACTGTAAAGCTTGTTCCTGCAACAGAAAGGAGAAAAAAATATATATAAGACCTCCTGTCCAAAATGAAATGACATTTGCAACCCATTTTACTTTCACAATTTTTTAATTTTATTATATATATTTTTTATTTCCCTTTTCGACTTAATTTTTCGTAATTTTTTAATAAGCGCAAAATTAAAAATAAATACAAACACTTCTTGAATACCTAAACATTTATTCGTAACTGTTAATATTTATAACAATTAACAATACATTATTTACATATTTTTATTTGTTTAAATATACATGTCTGAATTCAAAACCCTCAAAATGCTTACCCCTGAATGCACAATGCCAACACTATTCCATCATGGCCCTCAAGGGTTTTCTGGCACTTATATGTGGTGCATGTGTCCCAAACCTATGTGGTGCACAGAAGTACAGGGAATTTATCTAGATGAAGAGGGATGCACATAAACCAAAGGAACAGAAAACTAATGGCAGGTGAAATTACCTTGATGGACTTATCTGATGACCCACTAAAGAGAAGATCACCGGTAGAATAGACACACAAACACCACACCGGACCCTGGTGGCCCACAAAAGTACCCTTGCATTTGAAGATCTGCTGGGGGTCGTAGGCTGCAAAACATTTCATACAGTCAGACAATGACATATTTCATTATCCTCACAGAAATTAGGAGCATAAACGAGGAAGAGACACTCACAGCCCAGTATACCCATATTGAGTCTGGCATTGATGTGAGACAGTTCATCCTGCAAAAAGAGGGGTGGGTTAGAAAGCTCTTAATACTGAAACACCACAATTGTACATCTTAATATGGTGGAAACCAGAGTAAAAGCAGACAAACATTCAGCATGGAAGCATCTCGTCTGAACTCCATCAGATCTTCGCTGAGCTTACTCTGGTTCTCATCCAGCACATCTGCCATATTAGCACAAGAAAACCCCAACAAAATCAACATTCATGCATATTTTGGCCTAAAAACAGTAAGCAGTTAAGAGTTAGTTTCCTCACCGAACTTGAGTTCCAAGTTCTTCTCCAGCTGGTCTAGTTTCTCAGAGAGTTTGCCCAGCATGGAGCGCAGGAACGAGATGTCCTGGTCCTTCTGCGCCAGTGTCACCTGCATCTCATGGAATCTGTCATCTGTCTGCTGGAGAAACTCCTTCAGCCCCTCGAACTTACACACCTCCAGGTGCGTCTCATACGTGTCCTGATTCCCGATAAAGGTGCAACTGGAGAAAAGTCAGCAGAGATCAATTCAAGGCTGTTTTATTTCATTATCTATGCAACTGAAGGAAAGATTGTTAGATTTCCAAACTTCCATACCCATATTTAGAGTGAGGGCACTTAATGTGTTCACACTCTTTCAGATGGGCCTCCAGGTTCATGGTGAGCAATGGAGGGCAGTTGGGGTTGTTGGGACAGCGAACAGGTCTGTAGTCACAGCTTACTTCATGATCTCTGCCACACACAATCCAAAGTCATTACACTCCCTTTGCATGACTCATGACTATGTCGCAACAATAGAAATTAAACGCTGATATTGTGAAAGCCAATGAACCCGTGTACTCACTTCCTGGTGATAAGCTTGATGGTGAAAGGACAGCCAAGTGGGTCAACCTCAAAGGCTCCGGGTTTGCCCGAGGCAGCTGGCCGACAGCCGTACTTGCAGTGAATGAAAAGCTCTCCGATTTGCTCGGCCACCGCTATGTTATTCACTACCACTGTGAGCTTGGAATTGTCCACGGGGCATTTCTCTGTAGAAACACAGGTTATTAGCTAAACGAAAATACTACTGTATGTCGAAAACATCACTCAAACCAACAGCATGAAATGAAAGAGTTAGCATGGAGAGGAAATGAAAGAGGAACTGAGCTAGAGACCTGCACTTGGTCCAAAATTAACTTTAAGCCACTCCTGCTAATGCTGAGTGAATTTAGAAAATTTAAATAAATATTAAAACAAATTTCAGGAAGTATTCAGATTGCTTCACCTTCTTTCGCATTTTATGCTGCATCCTTCTGCTAATTTTTCTTTTTACAAAAATCTACTGTACACCCCATAAAGGTGTTTTGTGCTTTATATTTTTGTCTTAGTGACGATAAAATTATTAACCTATTAATCTTAATAAATTAAGATTGTCATATTTTCATTTTGATTTAATATAAAATCTATCTAGGAATCCTTAACATATTCTGGATGGTCAGTTTTCCACTCAGATGAAATTTGAGAATGACAACGTTTTCTTTAGAAGATATCAGATCTATATCAGACGATATAAAATTTTCACTACATAATTATTGTGGTCAAAAAAAAAAAAAAAAAATCACAATAACAATATTATTGCGATACCTATAGAACCTTTGAAAAAACAATAATGCTATCAGTCAAATTCATGTTTATTTTAAGTTTTCTCTTTTTTGGCCAATGAAGTGTAGAGAGAGTTTGTAACCATAATTGCACAAAAGCATACAAAAAGAACTTAGTACAAATAGTGCTTCCTCACTACTGGCAGCAATGTTCATCATGGGAAAGGTGAAAGCAAGACAAATGCTTAAGAGTAAAAATGCTATCCTTACCTGAGGTCAAGGCACATCGCCTGCAGAATGTGTGCTAAGGTGACAAAGGAAGGGAAAAGAGAGCACAGTGAGAGTGAATAAGAACTGAAATTTCATTTTCATCTACTCAGCTATTTTAAGTGTAATTCATCTCTCAACAGACACTTGTACTGTGGCGTTCAACAGCCTGACAGTGCTGTAGGAAACAGGTCAATGAGGCGTGCTGTTCACGGCCTTAGCTGACAGGAAATCAATACATGGCCTGGAAACAGATCACGACAGACAGCCCTATCCTGAGGGAGAGGTGAGGGGATGGCTGGCTGACTCACTCCGCAGGTGGTGATGACGGGGTCCTTGAACACGCTGCAGCACAGCTGGCAACAAAGCTTAACTGAGGGCTGCTCCGCAAACACCTGTGGCTCCTGGGAAGTAAAAGAGAGGAAGGGTGAGAGAGAGAGAGAGAGAGAGAGAGAGAAAAAGTCAATCTTGTGCTGGGCACATGTGTAGGTCTGTCAGTCTTTTGCGTCACTATACTAGATCAACATGTGAATAGGAAACAGAAGACTGCTGACACTCACTGTGTCTTCCTCTTCCTCGTGGAGAGAAAAGGTGGAGCGCAGCGACATGTTGGACTCGGAGTGCAGAGAGCGAACCGAGATGGCAGAGTCTGAGCGACGAGGGGTACTAATGGGTGGCTGCAGGGACAGAGACAGTTAGCATCTAAACACTTTTTGAAAGGTTATTAAAATTACATCTGGAGGTATTCCAGAAAGAAAGTTATGTGACATACCCATGTAAGTTAACGTATAAGTAAACAGATAACCTCAACCTTTCAAAACGCTCCGGTTACTATCGTAACCTCGGTTCCCTGAGAGAGGGAATGAGACACCACGGAGATATTTCTCCGTTATGGGAACTCCTTCCCTTCCAACCTTTCCTGAAGTCCTATTGGCTCCCGCCAGTCCAATAGACTGGCCAATTTACGCAAAGAATGCAAATCGCATGAAAAAAC